ACCCAGGGTCTGGGCCACACCCCTAAAGCTGCAGGCTTTAGGTGAAAACAGCTCTGCAGGTTACCTGACTCCAGCACCCAGACACCTAGCACCCAATGGGATCCAAACCCCAAATAAATCCATTTTACTCTGTATAAAGCTTATACATGGTAAACTCATAAATTGTCCGCCCTTCTATAACACTGATAGAGAGATATGCACAGCTGTTTTCTCCCCCAGGTATTAATCACTTACTCTGGGTTTACTAATAAACAAAAGTGATTTTATTAAGTATAAAAAGTAGGATTTAAGAGGTTCCAAGTAATAACAGACAGAACAAAGTAAGTTACCAAGCAAAATAAAGCAAAAACACGCAAGTCTAAGCCTAATACATTAAGAAACTGATTACAGGTAATATCTCACCCTCAGAGATATTCCAATAAGCTTCTTTCACAGACTAGACTTCTTCCTAAACTGGGCCCAATCCTTTCCCCTGGTACAATCCTTGTTAGTTCCAGCAGCCATCTCAGGTGGTAACTAGGGGTTTTCTCAAGACTGGCCTCCCTTTGTCCTGTTCCACCCCCTTTTATAGCTTTGGCACAAGACGGGAATCTTTTATTAAACTGATATTGACTATGTGGAAGTGAACATCAAGCTTTATTGACATGAGAAGTAAATATTGACACAGGTGAAGCTTAAAACAATATATAACTTGAGGGGCAATAAATCTTGATGTTCACCCCAGGAAGACTTCCTTACATTCTAGCATACCTTCAGAATATCTAGAAAGCTTTCCATCATAGTCATGAAATAAATTCCATGGTATTTAAATTTACATTCTAAATGGTAGACAAAGTTAAAAGTAAAAAAAAAAAAAAATCACCCTGAAGCAATCAGGAAGCAGAAGTTTGTAATCAGATTGAATCATGAATCCTGCCAGTGCTGTCTTCTGACTGTTCAGGAGCAAAGGAGGATGCACTGATGTGCACATTAATTGCAGTCTAGTTAATATTCTTTTGCAAGTGATTGCTCATGTCAGTTCCAAGTAGGTGTGTGTGCACTGCATGCACAATCATTGGAAAGTTTTCCCCTAGCGGTACCCATCGGGTTGACTGTGGAGCCCCCTGGAGTGGCGCCCTTATGGCGGTGAATATAGGTCTCTGCCGACCCGCCACCTCTTCAGTTCCTTCTTACCACCAGTGACAGTCGTTGGAGCTACTTCATTCTCTTGCCTTGGGCAAGCTCTTCTCCTAGCGAACAGTTGTTCTTTTATTGTCTATAGTTCTACTTATTGTAGGTTTTCTAGTGTTTTAGTTAGTTAGTTCGTAGATAAGTTTCTGTTGGGGGTTCTTCTCCCGCCCCCCCCCCCCCCCCCCCCTCTCCCTCTCCCCTCCGGCATGCCTCGGTCTCCAGGCTTCAAACCCTGCCGGTCTTGCCAGAAGCCTATGTCCAGGGGAGAGCCTCATGACTCATGCTTAAAGTGCTTGAGGGAAGCCCAGCAGACAGACAAGTGCAAGATCTGCAGGATCATCTGCCCAAAGACTAAGAAGGAGAGAGGCTTTAGACTTAAGCTCCTCCTTATGGAGTCGGCTCTCTGTCCCAGCCGGCTCAGACCGCGTCGGGATCCAAGCCCAGCATTTCAGTACAGAGCACACCGGCCTCAGTAAGCGAGGCTGTGGTGCCGGTGAAGAACTCTGGGTCCAGAGACCCGCAGCACCAACTCCGGCACCGAAGACAAGTTTGGCGACTTCTCAACACCGATCTCACTCGCAAGTGCCGCATAAGAAGCGGAGAAGAGCCGAAAAGGAGCACTCGCTGACAGTCCAAGCAGTGGAACACGAGGGTGCCTGCGGAGTGCGTCCCACATCGGGACGCTCAGCTCCTGCTCAGGGACAGCCGGTACCATTGATTCCGGCTGCCCAGGGGGAACCGTTGAGTCCAATCCCGTTGGACTCCCCAGGACGGGAGAGCCAAATTGGGGAGTTGGACATGCCGTCCACTCCGGACACATTGGAGACGCCAGGAACCTCATAGAGAGCACTCCCCGAAGCTGGCAGAGCTGACAGCACCGGCAGCTCCAGTATGGCGCAGGGGGGCTGGACTATGCCAGGGCAAACCGGCCATGCTACGACACCAGTCGTCCTCGCCTTGGCACCGATCACCAGGACCATCCCTCACGGCACCGCTGTGGAGACCAAGATAAGACTCATCCTCGGAGTCGGAGCTGGAGTCAGACGTTTCCAGATGCAGCTGGCACCGGTCTCGTCACTCCAGGCATAACAAGACACAGCAACTTCCGATGATGCCCTGGCCACTATAGTGGCAGGCACCTGCTCAGTGGCCATTTTGAACCCCACGGGCGTATCATCAAGCCCAGGGGCCAAGGCCCAGGTCCCTTTCAATCGCATCGGACAGATGGGGACCTCCATCTGCCTCCATGGTGAGGGAACCTCCAAGGGGTGGGTGTGGCTCCATCTGGGCTGGCACTGGACCCAGCACCAAATTCGCATCCAGCACCGCATCTGCCACTGCACAGGAAGCTCCTGCACGGGAGGACCTCCGTGAGTTGGAAGGTCAGGAGGACCCTGTGCCTATGAGGGCTTCTTCATCCTCCTCCCCAGACGAGGCAGTAGCGAGCTCATCTGCCTCCTTACCGGCTTTGGACAATAGAGCCCACTAGGAGCTGCTCAGAAGAGTAGCCCAAAATCTGGGCCTGCAAACGGAAGTGTCAGAAGAAATGGACCCTATGGTGGACATTCTGACACCAGAAGGTCCTTCCAACATGGCCTTGCCGTTGATCAAGACCATCCACAATACTACCAAGTCCCTCTGGCACACTCCTGCTTCTATTTTTCCCGCAGCTAAAGGGGTGGAAAGGAAGTACTTTATACCCTTTAAGGGGTTCGAATACCTTTTCACCCACCCTCAGCTGGGCATGCTGGTCGTGGATGCGGCCAATGCCAAAGAAAGGCAGGGTCACCAGGGCCCCAGTCCAAAGTCTGAAGAGGCAAAGAAGCTGGACCTCTTTGGCTGTAAGGTCTGTTCTACTGGGGGGCTCCAGCTTCGAATCGCCAATCAGCAGGCAGTTAGCTTCTACCGTTTTAACTCTTGGAATTCCCTGTCCAACTTTTAAGGAGCTACTTCCATCTGACTCCCGCTCTGACTTTCGGGCGGTCCTGAAGGAAGGCAAGACCATTGCAAGGACTTCCTTGCAGGCTGCATTAGACTCAGCAGACTCGGCCATCTGTACAATGTCCACGGCCATTGTCATGTGGTACAGCTTGTGGCTACAAGTCTCGGTCCTCCCCCAGGAGGTCCAACAGACTATCCAGGACCTGCCCTTCGATGGTGCGGGTCTCTTCGCTGAGCAGACAGACTCTAGGCTCCATAGTTTCAAGGACTCTAGAGCAACCTTAAAGTCCTTGGGGCTTCATACGCCGGCCCCGCAAAGAAAGCATTTCAAGCCTCAGCCCCCGCCTTGCTTCTACCCCTCTCAGCTGAGGCAAGACTATAACAGGAGACGGGGTAGGAATAATAGGAGAAGGCCTCTTCAGTCATCCTCTACCCAGGGCCATGGCTCGGAGAGACAGTCGCCAGCTCCTAAGAAAAACTTTTGAAGGTGCGCCCAGGGACATTGTACCAGTCCATATCCCGGATCCTTCCCCTCCTTTTGTGAACCGTCTATCCCATTTCTACCATGCTTGGGCCCAAATAACATCAGATGAGCATGGTAGTCTTGGGATATTCTCTCCAATTCTATATCCTCCCACCCACCTTCCCCGTCCCTCTTCTGGGACCCTTCTCACAAGCAACCTTTAGTGCAGGGGGTGCAAACACTCGTACAACTCGTGGCAGCAGAAGAGGTACCTATGGAGTTCAGGGGCATGGGATTCTATTCCCATTACTTCCTAATCCCCAAGGCCAAGGGTTGGCTCCGGCCTATTCTCGACCTGTGAAACCTCAACAGATTCATGAAGAAGCTGAAGTTTCGCATGGTCTCCTTGGCTTCCATCATTCCCTCTCTGGATCCAGGGGACTGGTAACTGTTCTTGACTTGAAGGACACGTACTTCCATGTGTCCGTAATCCTGTACCATAGACGTTTCCTTCTATTTGTGGTCAACGATACAGCAGCTCTTCATCGCTATTGCCGAAAGAATGAAGGGTCTCCCTGTTTCCTCTCAGAGAATCTCTTCTTCTATCATGGCCTGCATCAGAACGTGCTATGACCTAGCAAAGATTCCAGCCCCAGCACTGACAGCACACTCCACAAGAGCACAGGCTTCATCTGCAGCATTCCTGGTGCAGGTCCCCATTCAGGACATCTGCAGGGCGGAGATGTTGTTGTCTGTTCACATCTTTATGTCGCACTACACCATCACTGAGCAGGCTAGAGGTGATGCTGCGTTTGGTTGAGCCATGCTACAATCGACAGCTCGGTGAACTCCGACCCCTCCTCCGGGGTACTGCTTGGGAGTCACCTACTTGGAATTGACATGAGCAATCACTCGAAAAAGAAAAAGCAGTTACCTACCTTTCGTAACTGTTGTTCTTCGAGATGTGTTGCTCATGTCCATTCCAAGACCCACCCGCCTCTCCTCTGTCGGAGTATCTGGCAAGAAAGAACTGAAGAGGCAGTGGGTCAGCAAGGACCTATATTCACTGGCAAAAGGGCACCACTCCAGCTGGCTCCACAGCCAACCCGACTGGTACCGCTAGGAAAACCTTCCGATGATCATGCATGCGAAGCGCACACACCTACTTGGAATTGACATGAGCAACACATCTCGAAGAACAACAGTTACGAAAGATAGGTAACCATTTTTTATTCCAGGCTGTATTACTGACCTCTGAAGAAACAAACCATAGACTCTGACTTGTCAACATCAATTTTCAGTTAAGGTTTTCACATTGTATATAACAGTCTACTTTCATTGTCATGATTTTTTTTAACAAAATGTTCATGTAACATAGTACATGTAATAATATTTACTTCTACATTTTATTACTAATTTTTTTTAGCTCTGGCCCTGTCCTTCGAATCATTCTTCACTGATTTTTTTCTATACTGTATATTTTGCCATAGCAACAGTAAGTAATAGGGACCTGTGTCTCATCCTGTGAGCATGCTGACCATACTAACCATGAGAACTCACTTAAAATCTGTAAATGACAATATTTTGAAAGTTATATATTTATATATATCAATCAATCACATTTGGTAATCTAGTTTTTGGGAAAAAAAACAAATTAATATAAGTATATGTATTCTCTGAATGACAACAGGCACATATGTTAAATATGTTTGTCATTTTTGGATTTTATATATTGCTTGTGTATTGCTGTTTTAAATCTTTCTCCTTTATAACCCATATACTCTGTTTCTGTATCCTAATACAGATGTGTTTTTTTTAAAAAAAATTGTCCAGTACGGTAACTGCATAATTGATCAAATTAATCCCTGATGCAACTCTGACTTCAGCAGAGCTGCACCAGAGATGAATTTGGCCAGGATATCGTAATTAAATATACTATGGGAAATCTGAAGTATTTCAGAGTAACAACAAAAAAATGTACTGGTATTCTGCGTATCTTTTTTTCTTTTACACATTTTATTCTTGCAACTGCACTGTCCAGATTATGGCTTGTTGTTAATGTATTTAGTATTGAATTATGTTGTAAAATCATGGGAGTTATAGATGGAAAAGGCCTGAGAGATCATCACATCCATCTTACTATTGCAAGCTTCTTTGTCAAATCAATTAAGATTTTTTTTTGGTGTGTTTATCAAATAGTCAGCACATTTTTTGTGAATTAGTGTGAATGCTATGGCCAGTTTGTGTTTGACGTGCGTTTCTGTAAAGGTTCTTACTGCAAGGGTTTGCAATATGGAATGTCTATTTTTCTTTTGTATACTTCATTAAGAATGAGGATTCTTCCCTCATAAGACTTGAATGTCCTGATAGTTTCTTTAAGTTTCTCACAGCTGTTCTTTTTAATAATTTAAAAGAAGGCAAACCAGTTTCCACATTCACTATGTGTAGTTTCTGCTTATCAGTTTCATTGAGGCACTGAATCATGGCAAGGAAGATTAACCTTAGCTTCCCCACATGAATGACAACTTACTTTCTTCTTTTGATATCTAATATCTGCTACAAGTATATCAGGAATGACAGCACTTACAGCTCATAAAATAAATAAATATCAAAACATCAGTGATTCATCATTTTTTGAAAGTTAAAGAAATTAAAAACAAAACTCAAAACCCATCATATTTAATACATGTAAACTAATTATAATAAATACATGCTTTATTTTAAACACTATGCCAGAGGGGGGTCATTTACGCACTTTATTTAGGTCAGTATTTTTCCTCCATCCTTGCTTTGTCATTTTTAAAGGCCTGATATAATATCCATTGAAGTCAATGGAAAGACCCCTATTGACTTTATTGGGCTTTCGATGAAGTCCTAAATGCTGGATGGTAAAATCTACATTAATTTGTTTGAAATCCAGACAGACCAACCCCTTTAGTGCTTTAGTATTAATTAAACTTGACTTGCATAAAATATCAGCTCTTTAGTGGCTCACAGATTGTTTCATGGAAGGTTTGGCAGATGAGCATAAAATTGCAGCTCAGTCAAGAACTGCAACATCAAGACAAGATGGCAGTTAGCCCTTATGAAGCTTTAGAGTTGTTGTTTTTTTAAAACAACTTTATGAGATGTTACAAAAATAAGGGTTCCTGACTTTAATCTGAAAGAGTCATATGAATTAGTTAAATGGAATCTACATTACATTTAGTGATTTACATGTCAAATTTCCAGTGTATAAAATATACTGATCTACATGAGCACTAAATTGATCTAGTTTATTAAAATAGATTTTATATTTATACACACACACACACACACACACACACACACACCATGGCCATGGACTATGTATAGAGAAATGAAAACTCTTGTCTAAAGATTAATCCTCATTTATAACCCACTTTGTGTTATGCCACATGTCATGAAATGTTAAATCAGAAGTCTGTGTACACAAGGCAGTATTGTAATAGATAGTGATAATTTTAATAACATTGGACTTTGGAATATTTTAATAAAGAGTAGTCCATTTTAAACATCCAAACCTCCTATTGCAGATTGCTTGATTTGGCATTTAAAGACTGGGATTGGTCATTTGATGATGTTGATGATATTGATGGTGATGACGATGTTTTTGATTTCTGAAGATGTAAAAGGGTAAATCAAAGTAGTGAGGAATGCATTGTTTGCCTTTTGAATAGAGCATGCTAGTTGGGTTTTGTTTTTCAAAGTAGAAAAAGTATGAGAGATCTCATTTTTAATATTATGCATTCAAAAATGAGATTTCATTGAGATGGAAAAAAATCAATTTTCAGAGGAGTCACTTTAACTAAAAATGTGTATTTGTGTTTTACATACGTGAGTTTAATTAGAGTTTTCTGTTCAGAATTCATGTCTATCTGCCCCAGTTGAGTAGAAAAAGAGATAACTGCTACCATCAGAGAATATACTTATAGCAGTGGTAGTACTGCTAACCTCTATAAACAAACCATTTTTGAGATGTAAAAATAAAATTGTCACATTTTAATCTTTATTTGACACACTGAAGATATGTCAGTTTGCAGTAAAAATGCCTTTTTAAAGTGTAAAGTGACTTGTCTATGGCTAGCAGACTTGAAACAAGAGCTTTGCAATGTGCATTTTCTACTACTGCTATGAAATACAGATTTATGACTTGGCTTTGCTCTGTAGTGTTGTGCTTTTTGGGTTTCTAACAACGCACTTGAAAAAATTCTAAGTAAAATTGCATTGCTAATGCAGTGAGCTGAATTCCTTGAATGCTATTGTAAATATAAAGCAGTTCTATTTATAATTAAGTAAAACTAGCTTAACTGAAAATGATCTAATTAGTTTGCAAACCTCCGCCCGGCCCCACACATCCCTCTGCCCTGCTTCCTGCCCCCATTGCTTCTTAACCATGGGGGGAGGGGTCACTGTATGCGGAGCTGCTCTCCCATCCACCCAACCCCCATGCGTCTGGACTCCCCCTCCCACCCATACCCAGACCCCATTCTGAACCTCACATCCTTCCCCACACACACACCTGGACTTCCCCACCAAGTCCCATCCCCCCGCATCCAGACCCCACCCCTCAACCCAGACCACTCCCTGCTGAGCCCTACACACTTGAAACTCCACCCCAATGAGCCCCACTCCCAATGCACCTGGACCATCCCGATGAGCCATCCAGACCCCCACCCCCAAGCTCCACTCCCTCAACACCCGGAGCCCCCGATGAGCCCCCTACGCCCAGACCCCCCCGCTGAGCCCCAGCTACCTTCACTTGGTCCCCTCCTGCAGGGTCCCATTGTCCCTGCACTCGGAGCCCCTCTCCCCAATGAGCCCCTGTGTATTCAGATTGTACCTGGACCCCACCATTGAGCCACCCTCACCCAGATTGCCCCACATAGAATCCTCTCAACCCCAGACTTGGATCCCCCCCACACTAAGCCCCTCCACACTTGGATCCTGCTGGTCTGAGCCTATCTGCCCACACCTAGTGTGCCAGGCGTGGTGGGGCAGGGCTCCAAGATGTTTCTGGAGCAGGTCCAGCCCTTGTGCTGTGTCACGGCCAGGTGCAGTCTCACCGCTGAGTATGTGTCCTGGCGGGGGAGGGGAGCTGCAGGGCGACCTCCCACTTCCATGCAGCCAGTAGCCTGTGCTCTCTGCTACCATGCTGGAGCATCCACAATTCTTTATTGACAAATAACATTTGCAGAATTTTAAAATATTTTGCACAGAATTTGTATTTTTTTGGCGCAGAATTCCCTCAGAAGAATGCTCAACTAACTGAATTATTAGTATCAGTAAAATGTGATTGTCTTAATCTCAGAATAAGTTTGAAATTGTGGTGCATAGGATACAGTGTTTTTAAATAACATAATGCTATTTAGTGCAAATAAGTAGCATTTGTTGCAAGTGTGCAGAAGTGCATATTTAAAATAAAAATTTGGAGCAAATTTCTCTTTTCAGCAGAGGGACGTGCATTGCATTTACTGACCAAACCTTTCTTCTTTTTCAGCTAACTGCCTTCTGTGAATGCAGTCACTATTCAAGGTGATAATATTCTTCCCATTAAAACAAGACTGAAACATGATATCCCAAAATTTATTAAAATATATATATTTTCCTGAAAGACTGTGCTATATATATCAGAGGTTTACAATTTTTTGCTGCAATATAAATTACTAATCTCTGAGGGCTTTTTTATAATCCCTTGGGGTAACTGATCAAATGAGGACTGTTGGTAATAGTATAAGGATACTTTAGGTAACCTTTTAGAGTCTTGTTCCAAAAAAGTTTATCTTGGCAAGACACACACACTACATTTCACAAAAGAATTGAGAAGAGTGAAAATTAAAACTGAAGAAATTCATCTTTCAACTTTGATAGAGAGATGCCACCAGCATGTTTGCCAGAAAAGTAGGCGGGAAAGATCCACCACAGTGGTATAGACTGCATCTTTAAGAAGTGACCATTATACTGTGTATATATATATTGTACTGTAATACTGCAAAAGGGTTTTAAAAACTTTCCACTTTATTTTTTTATGCATATTAATCAGATACCATTACTTACTGCAGTTGCAACTATGCACTTGTGTAAAGCCATAATGTTGAAGTTAATATCATTCATACATGTTTATCAAAAGCTGCATGTCATTGTTGAGCAGTTAGTATAATGAGACGTTTGAAGTACATACTCATTTCAATGATTTCATAATGGGCAGTCCTATTTTACCTATCTGAATGCCTTAATTTAATTTTTTCAAGGTCTATGCCCATTCTCTGTATTTAAGGAAAAAAGAATGTTTACCAGCTCTTAGGATACAAATTTGCTTTGTGGCAGAAAAAATAGTGCACTATTTTTACACACAATTATATCAATGTCAGCCTATTTTGAATGTATATTGATTGGTTTTGGGGTGGGAGGGAGTATTGGTTACAGAAACAATAACTGATAGTATTGAAACTAATATAACTTTCATGTGTACATGTAACTTTTCATCCAGTCCTTTTTACAAACCTCAATATTAGTCATTGACTTTATATTACCCTTATTAAGTGCTATGAAACTTCATTTTGCCTTGTTTTGCGTACTCTCCTAGATGTGTTTTTATTTCTGGGGAAAAAAAGTCTGTGACTATTTTTACATTTTCACAGTACAATATCCAAGGACTGTCACAAACTTTAAAGAAAACTAAACAGATTGTAGATGTATTTTAAATTTTTGAATCCAGTTCTCTAGCACATAGCTGTAGGCATAGAAAAATATTTCAGTAGTGTGTTTTGAGAACTTATAGCTGGGAATAAAAGGCCTCAGAGGCACTTAATCTGATTTTTTTTTTTTAACTTGGACTTGTACAAAAATATAATTTATGTGGGCTCGTTCATGCTGTGTTCATAATTATCCCAGAAAATGCATGTTTTATACAACTACAGGATGCTATGTTAAACATATTGACAGTAAAAAAAAAATGTAGCCTCCTACTTGGTCTCTTTTTTTATATATATATATTTATATATTGTGTGTTAGTGTGATAATTAAAAATATGATTTAACATTTCAAGGAAGGAAGACATTTCACTTGATCTTTTCTTTGGGAACAGTGTTGAGATGTTCAAAGGATAGGACCATGACTTGTATAACACTATCCTTAAGAGTGGATTTAGGACCCAGGAGTATTGAAAATGAATATAGTTACATTGTATTAGTGGTAATAAAATGTAACTTACCCAGTCTGCACTCAGTTTTATATTTATGCATTCTCAACCTAAAATGTTTGTGCATTCTTAAACTTAAAACTAAAATGTGTATATCATTTTAGTTAAAGTATTAGCCCAATGCACAGTAAAAGCTGTGTATCCTTTCCCTGCTTGTTGTGATTTACTGAAATAAAGCATATTTTAGGTAATGCATATTTGCATACAAAACAAAATTTTAAAAATGTATACAATAAAACTGTTTCCATTCACTGAAAGCATAAATATTTTATATATAAGATTTTGTTACATTGTGGGAAGTTCTATCCTATTCTGAATTGGAGAATATAGATATATATATATAAAAAAATAAACTATCTGAGTAAGGTAAAATAGTTCCTAATGTTGACAAAGCTGGTAATTAATTGAAATATTTATATATAAAAGGCAGCAATTGTTATGATCGTGTAAAAATGAAATCTGTCATTTAAGGGGAAAGTGTAAAAAAATCTAACTAAGGCCAGAAGGAGGTCCCTGGCAGCACAGCTCCCATGACAACATGGTAAGCAAGGCCCAGGAGCTGCTTGGGGCCAGAGCCACTGCAGTGTCTCCACGTGGATGGCCCTAACCTCCCAAGAATCCCTATGGATCTGCCAAGTTTGGGGTGGCTTTTCTTTGGAAGGAACAACACCCCACTACAAGCATCATGTTACAGGGAATCTCCACAAAGAAATCATCCTGGGGATTTCCTCATAAGAAGTTCCTTCATGTGGCTTTTTATATGGGAGGGGATAATATGGCCTCTGAGAGCTAGCATTTTTATAACCAAATTTAACCTTAAAAATCATTTGTGAAATATCCATCCTCCAAAGAGAGAATATACTGTGATTACCAGCCTCATCTTTGAGATGTGTGTGTGTGTGTGTTTGTATGTACAGTACACAATAGTTGCTTGTTACATAGACAGTAAATTGTACTTAGTTTTGCCCTTGCAAGTAACTCATGTTACTGTGGAACTCCCTAATTATTCCCTGTACTAAGGAATAACACTAATTATCAGGGATCCTAGAAATCTGTTTGCCACGGAAAAACGTGGCATTTGCATTTTTACAGAGACTCTTTAGTTTTTACATTTTGTGAAAAAATAAAAACAGAGTGAACTCTATTTATCTAAGCCTTCATTATCCAGCTCTCTGAATTAAAGGAACTGCCAGGGGCTGACAACATCGGGCGGCTGGTGGTTTGGTTAATACGGACAGTTGGGTAGTGGAGTTTGGATAGGGTTCTACTGTATATCAATAAAACATTGTGGCTAGGGAAACTAAAGTTCAGCGTTTCATTTTAATTTAAAAAAAATAGATTTGGGGGGGGTTTATTGGAGACTTTTGTTTTTTTATCATGGAAAACTAGGATGCCTGCTAAAAATGTAATCTGGAATGCAAAATTATAAAGATTTTAATTACAATCACTGTAGACATACCTGCATATCAGCTTTCTTTTCCTTTGGAAGCTTGCTTTGTACAAAACATTACCTTAACCTATTGATCTGATTACATTCTGTTCACAATCACACTTCCCCATAGCCCATGTAGGGTCTGTTTTATTCAGAATTGGGAAAGCTCATCCTTTAGTCAGTTTCAGAAATACTTGCCAAGACCATGTTGTTTGTTCTACTAATTCTGACCGTCATTGCAAACTTGACTTTTCTTTTAAAAGCATTTCTCTATGAACAAGATTAAGTGATTAAGATACAACATACAGCAGTTGCTTATTAATTTAATAAAGGCTACTGCCATTGGCATAATGTAAAGGAGAGCTATGGTGAGTTATATTTGTTCACAATATTTGTTTGGAAAGTTTGTTTTGCCATTGTTTAAATTATTTCTGGTGAACTCCTACATCAGGCTCTCAAGAACATCGCTGGGAATAAAAGAACCTGGGTAGTCTGTGAAATTAAAGCCCAGTCCCACTGAGGGGATGTCTGTACTGTAATCACAGGGTCTGACTGCAGCTCCAGCCGACATACCCGCGCTAATGTTAATCTAGCTAGTTCATGTCCCAGAAGAGCGAAGTCACGGCAGTCTGTGCAGGGTGCGCAAACCCATTTATAACCCTGGTAATTTCTCGTAGGGCTAGCCCACACTGAAGCTTGTACTGCCGTGGCTTCGCTGCTCCAGGACCTGGGTTAGTTAGATTACAGCTAGCTCGGGTATGTTGGCTCAAGCGGCAATCGTGCCTAGTACCTGCAGTCTAGATGTACCCTCAGATTCCCTGTGTGAGCTCCAGTTGCTGGCTATTGTTCTTCCTGATTGAGCAGAGGCAAGTAATTGGCAGGTTTTCTGGAAATGTTTCTTTTGGCCTTGGGTAAATACTGGCGGCCAACAGTCTACAAATTACAGGGAGTCCGGATTGTCACAATTCAGGGCAACGGCATGTGTATATCCCCTAAATGGTCAAGCAAGCGCACCCACTTTCAGGCTCCTAACACCCTGGTCATTGCCTCTCTTGGGTGGAGACCTGCGTCTCTCTCTCTTCTGACTGGGGTATTTCCAGGCTGCACCATTCCTGGCTTTCACGGTGTTAATCCCAGCAGATTGCCCATGTGCACCTGCTTGCTTTCTCTTGAGAGACTGATGATAGAGTGTCAGCAATTATAAATTACCACACAATAACTTTTATTTGATTCTTTAAGGTAAAAGCACTACGGAGTAAACAGTAAAAGAACCTACAGACATGCTACTAATCTTACCAGAGATCAGCTCCACCCTAACATGGGCTCTTGCCAGAGCAGTCCTTCCAAACCTCACCTAAGGGGTTTCTTTTGTGATCACAAGTTCATCACAGCTTCAGCTCAGAACAAGCACACTCATAAGTTTTGTTCACTCTTTATACTGTTCAGGGGACTTTTGATCTGGAGTTTCCAGGACCAGGTAATTAATTTTCATCCTCAGGGCACAGTTTCAAAAGGTGGGATTCAAAGTGGGTCATTTGCATTCCCTTACACTCAGGTATTTCCTAGGAAATCTGCTTCACGTGTATTCTTTCAAAAAGCCCTTGGAAGTTTCTAATACCTGCCAGAGATTGCATTAGTCAGTCTCCTACAGAAGTTAAATACATATAATTCCACAATAACACATACGCAACTGCATTTTTAATACAATGAACCCCAAAAGTATTAAAGCTCATTACATAAAGTGCAACTCAATTCAGTAAGGTTTATTCAGGATATTGCAGGAATGTCAGCTTGTCACACTGATTATCTTGGCGAACTCTCGATACCTCCAATTTATGGAGGTGCTTCATATATTCGGAGCCACCTCTTTGCATTCTAAAGTCCAGTGTCCCTGGGGACAAAAGTGGGGGGGATTATTAACACTGTTTGTCACCTGCTAAGGTTTGTCTACATAGTACAGCAAAGTGCTGTAGAGGAGTGTGATAGGTAGAGTGCTCTAACTCCCACCGTGTAAATAGTGCTGTTGTGCTCTACCAGATACCTAGTTCACATTAACATAACCGGGTCTACACTGGGTAATTCGGGCAACACATTTGCGTACTCTACAAAAAACACCCCTCAGGCGTACTCTGCCACAACGTGTAGATAAGCCCTTAGAGATTAAAGCTGCAAATTCCAGTTTACCTGCTTAGATTTACAGGAATCTGTTGTTACATGTAGCACTCAAGAAGCTGGGAGGAGATGGAACAGCACGTAACAAAGAAAATAATTAAAATGGCAGTCACCAGCATAGCAAACATAACAGTGGGGCTGGGAGACTACCTCGCTTCCACTGACCTCCATATCTTCATGGTCCTTCACAAGAAGTAAGTGACATTCAGTCTAGTGGCTCCAAATCGTCAATACATTTTTTTTTCTTTAGCTCCATATGCATTGGCAGGAAGGATGACTGGATAATAATGTTCCTTCTGAAGAAGGGGATAGCAATCATGCCTTGTTAAGAGGACTAGTTAAATGGAGGCTCCTCTCAACTTGTAGTCGCATCCAGCTCTGGAACTTTTTCAAATCTTGGACTGATTGTGATGTATCAAAGAACCTAGGAGTTTATCTTAACAGTGGATAAGTAAGTTTTATCAGGTGAAATTCCTCGAATGTGAATCTGTGATATCCTGCAGAAAGCCTGTTCTGTCCTGTGGGAATGCTTTTTTCTATCTTCTTTAGAGCTCATCTCCCTGTTTTGAAAAGAGTCTCAGTACTCAGCAATCACTATTGCCACAGTGGTCAGGGAAGGAGAAGACATCTTGGGATATTGTGTGGCTCAAGGAGAATAGTCTGTAGCTCCCTTACAGATATTTTAAAACTTGGAGGCTCCCACAGTCAAATACAGGTTTGTTTGTTTATTTTAACTGACTCAGGACATTAGAGTTTGGATGGTTTTGTGACCGTATTCATCTACATAGTTTGTTTAATTATATAATCCAATCTAAATTGGGTTTTTAAGACTATAATGTGAAAATATGAATTCTTTGGCATGTTTGGACACGGCCTAAGATTTTTGTGAGCAGAATGGGCCTGTTTTGAACTGCACAGTTGCTCAATGTTTCTGAATCTCTGATAGTGCCAGATGTGAGTCATTTTCCAAGTTTAAACCATTTTGGTGATTAGTTTTCACAGAAATCATTGCTGAAAACCCAGACTTGCCCAGGTATCTAGAAGCGTATGAAAGCAGCACTTTCATACTTCATCAGGGAGTTCTTCATACACTTCTTTAACAAAAACAGAATTCTTGGTTTGGTAGATTTGTAAACTTGGCTTTCAGCATGTGATGACTTCACAACTCTAAGAGATTTTCTTGAGCTGAGATATTTATTTGGAACAGAGTCAGTTATTCCCAAGAATGGGTTTTGAATCTAATTGGTAGCTGGAGATTCATGTTCAACTGTAGGGAATACAATCCAGACAAATGTGTTAATATTTGGTCATTAATAACATGTTGATCAATGTGGCATCTCCAAAGACAAAGTTTCATGAACCCCACCCCATTTTTCTCTTTCATATTTAGTATATTTGTATTCCAGGGGTGGGCAAACTTTTTGGCCCAAGGGCCACATCTGGGTATGGAAATTGTATGGTGGGCCATGAATGCTCACAAAATTGGGGGTTGGGGTGCTGGAGGGGGTGAGGGCTCTGGCTGGGGGTGTGGACTCTTGGGTGGGGCCAGAAATGAGGAGTTCAGGGTATGGGAGGGGGCTCCAGGCTGGGGCAGGGGGTTGAGGTG